AGAGATAAACGGCCAATCGGCTAAGCTCACCCAGGTAGATCGCAGGCGACCGGCCGTGAAACGCGACGCTAACCATCAATTATCGTGATATACCTGGTTCTTACCGCGACTACCTGACGAAAGGAGCTTCATCCTGTCGATAATTCGCCGACTTAACTCCCATCTCTCATATAATCGGGCGCTGTTCTCGTTTGTCCCGGAAATTTTTCCAACGGATCGCGGTCGTCCGGCTTGCGATTTATTGGTAATTTCACCTTAATGATCGAACGAACCGCGCTGCCTTGCATAACGTTGGTCTTTCCTAGATGTTTTATCGATCGTTCCCTCGAAGAAAAACCGGCTTCTCGATTAGACAATGTCCGACGTAATCCAAGAAAGGAAAAGAAAGGAGAGAAAACCGATGGTATTTGGCGACGTTTTTATCCAAGAAATTTACGACAGGGGAATTTCGAATGGATGATTTGCAGCAAATCCCGTAATACGACTTCCTAATGTACAGTCTGGTATTACGGCGAGGTAAAACTGGGGCAATAAAATTTCGAAATTGATTTGGTTCGTTCTAATTGATCTGTGCGTAAGACTCAATGAATCGATGCATTCCAGGACTTATCTTTCCATTCTTTCTTAGTGAGGGGGGAAAAATGGGAAACAACATACAAAAAAAAAAACGTGAAAAGGAAACAAAAGCATAGTAAAAAAGTTCTACCATCAAAAAAAAAAAAAAAAGAAACATTTTGCCATGGTCGTAACCGATTTCTTTCGCGCTCACGTCCATTTAATTGAGCTCTTGATCGCCATCAGAACGTAGAACAAACCTGCGGATATACGTTTCGCTGAAAGAGAGAAAAAAAGAAGAAGAAGAAAAAAAGGAAAAAGAAGAGACGCAAGCGCGTCGACAGTTTTCTCCTGGTTGTTCGCGTGCGTGCTTTATTCCTGGCGATAATTATCTGCGCCGGCGACGGAAGGAAAAAGAGGAGCTCAGGAGAAACACGTGTCGTGAAAGGGGTCCCGTGCGTGTACCGTCGTTACGTACGATCGTTACCAGAAGTATAACTTTTAAGCCTGATGTTCGCCAGGCTTGCCCGTTGCGATCGACAAAATGCCTCGTTACTTAGTTTACTGACAAACCTTGTTACCAGTTCTCGTTTTAAAAGCACGCCGCTCGCATACGTCTCAAGCGCCGAGCAATTTGTAAGATACTTTCGCCGCGGTCCGGGATTTTCCGGGTTCGAATTTTTCCGCCGATTCGACTGAAAATCAGAGAAGTTTCTTCTCGGGATCTCTTTCGATCTTGAGATCGAGATGCAATCAAAGAAGAGCTCGATGAATCTGCGCGATCGGCGAACGCAACAGGAAATCGCGGTCTGCTACAGTCGCGGCTTTTGTCTCCGATGTCCGCTTACATAATCGTGTATGCTTTTATAAAATTATATATCCGGCGCTATCACGCGTCCCGCTTGCACAACGCGCCGAGTTGCACGGCCACGAGTTACGTAACGAGCGATTTTACAATGGGATCGTTTACAGTAAGCGGCCGTTTCTGGACGATTAAGCGAAGAGCCGTGGAAAGAAAAAAGTAGGAAGTCGAAGCACCAGCACCGAATCGGTTAGCTCTAGAGGTCGAAGCACCGAAGATACGCCGAGCACGTGCAACGCTCGCGGAAGCGATTCGCGTGCTCGAGGATCCGGGACGGTCGATTTTTCTTCCAGGTTCGTTCTCACGCTAAACTATCGCGCGCTTCGAAAATGATAGAGCCAACGCCGATCTCTCTCTCTCTCTCTCGCGAGATTCTCCTTTTTCTTCTTCTTATTCCTTTTTCGGTCGACCAATTTTCGATCTGTTTGTTTTTTGCTTTCGACGAGGTTCGAGGATATTTTTGTGCGTGACGTAGGTAGCGCGAATTAATGTTTGATGCGGGTCTCGCGCTCGTGCTTGGAAATTCGCCGGTCATTATTCTAACCGAACTAATCGCTCGTTTCACTCTTGACACACTTTCTTGGTCAACTGAGATTATTACTATTAAAAAACGAGGCGAGTATCGTTCCGGCGGATAGTCGTAAAGATGGTTGAGAAAGATGGAAAATTTTAAAAAGTCAGGACGCGAGCCGAGTCGTTTAACCCGTTGCTCTTTTCTTTTCTTCTTGTTCTTTGTTGACAAAATTACGACGAGCCGGCCGGTTGGTTCAGTCACGAGAAAATCGTGTCGAGTCGACAACGTGATTAGACTGGAGATGCAAATTTTACTTTCGTCCTTCGCTCGCAGCACCTCGTTACGACAAAAACTTTCTTTTCCGCCGGCAGCCACGCGCGTTCCTAACCAGAACGGGACAGAAATCCGGCGCGAGATGGTCGTGTGAACTTCCCTACGAAGTAGTCGAGGAAAAGTTTCGTTTTCATTTATCTGCATTGCTTCCGCAAAAACTCTGCCTGCAATCCCTGGCAGCGTGCAAGGCTTCTAATCATTTAGGATTTTCTGCTCGATTGTATTAACAAGGTATCGACGATCGGATTAATTCAAGAAAGCGACTCGAGGCGTAGCTATTTAACCGTGTTTCGCGCTGCTCCTGTTACATGTGTTCACATTTCAAAGTACACACAGTATATTCGGGTCGTAAATCCGGCACGCGATGACGATACACTGACAGACGGAGCATGACAATATCAGCCCACATTCGATCGAAGCGTAGTAATATCGATCGTACAAGGAATCATGCTTGTCCGATTAACTTTCGTGCAATGTGCGATGAAGATCGTAGCGTGTGCGAAATATTATAGTTTCATCGACGAAAGCAACGATAATCACTTTAGCTGAATTTCCTAACTCCTTCTTTGCCTGACGTCGCAAGAATATCGGATCACTAAGGTCTAAGAAATATTACAACATCTTTTCTCTGCTCTAACAAAGAAATTTTCACATGCCAGATCTGGCAACAGATGTTACACTTTCCTTCCGATTACGATGACTTTCGCACAGAACGCGACTTACGTAATTCCGCCAGACTCTGGCAAAGAGCAGAGAGAAAGAGAGCGTTGCTCGTCATCCGCGGGATGATCGGATCACTTTCCACGCGCACGCGTCTTCGCGGAAAAGTGACTGAGAAAGGATCGGCGGCGTTCCTCGAACCGGAACGCTCGTTGGGATTCACGTAACCACGCTGCCACGTCGTATCCGGCCTTCATCGAGTCCCATTCGCATTACAATTTCACTGTGTCGGAGGGGCACTTCGTACCCTTCGTACGCGCCAGCACGATAAGCGAATCGTTCGCCGATCGATCAATCACGATTCCGCGATTAATCAACGCGGATGCGTTGCGGCCAAGGATTTCGCAAGCCAGCCGCCCGAACAATGGATCACTTTTACTCGCGGCGCGCTCGGCAAAGAGCACTTTATGATCCGTTCAGGGAATCGCGTATGAGGCTCGACAAACATCAACGCCAATCCCATTGGCAGCCATTACGGGAATAAATTACGGGAAGAGTAAAAGGGGATAACAGATAACGAGCTGGGTTCGACATTTCGTTCGTGGACGTGGGGTTCCGTTTCACTGACTTTGTTGGAACTCGCTGACGTATAATTGCGCGTCGATTACGCGGAGAAACGCAAATATCGTGGCGGAATCAATTATGAGCGTAGGTACGGGATCGGTGAAGAGAATTTCCATTCTATCTATCGACTGACGTGCTCGTTTGTTCCGCGTATTCGTGCGTGGAACACTCTCGTTCCGATTCCATCCAATGCTCGAAATTCATCGCGACGCGATCATTACGCTTATGAATGTGCGTATATGTGTACACAGATAATTCCTATCAAGTATTGATAGAACAACTCGAGCAACAGTCCCTCTGGCTGAACGTAAACATCGCATTCTACTCAATTGCCTCGTATTTCAAGATTATTGCCGGTTGACGACCAGCTCTCTCGCTAGTATCTACGTACGCACGTCGAAATAAATAATTCCGCAGGTCACGGCGGCGAAGAATCTAAAAGTCTCGACGGTAATTGCGCGTAATTTTATCCCCCTCGGTTACTTTCTAGCTCTCGCCGAGAACCAACAAGAAGCCGCGATTCGCACGGGATACAGCATGAAATCTGAATTTCGAGGAACTCGCGTGTTTACGCGAATCGTCCACTTTTTCTCTGGCCGTGTCTGCTGTCTAGAGAAACGACGCCGCCTCTCACGTAGACGCGGACAGTAGCGAGTTCGTACGGACGAGCTCATCGAAATTCGAACGAACCTGCCTTCGTGACCAGAACGCAGACTGGAAATTCAAGTGTAACCTTGCGGTTGTGCTCGCCGAGTCGCACGATCAAAGCGAATAGACGTGTAACTATTTGCGTTCTTACCACACGTGGGTATTTTCCGTCTCGCGACGCTCTATTTTCGCCGGTTTATTCCTGACAGCTGAGCAATAACGCAAATTTCGGGCGCGGTGTCGAATCAGATTGTACGCGTGGCGCAGAACTGTATTTGCCTTGCTGAATAATGGATCCTCCTCGTAAAAATATCCCACGGCAATAAAAGAAAAAATTAAAAAAAAAAAAAGACGATTAGATAACCGTAGGAATTTAGGTCAATGCGTGTCATTATGTAATCTGGAAATTCCTGAGGATTGCGTCGGTTCTAATCAATAACGTCAATTGTCTCGGTCGTAATAGATTACGCCGCAAATCACACGTTGTGTAGACTTTTCGAATTACCAGCAAATAATTACGAAGCAGTCGTTCAAACAACCAGATAACGCGTGACGGAATTCAAGGAACATAAGATTGTACATAAGAACGAAGTAGTTTCGTAGTCTTCTGAGTAGTTTTCTAGTCGATCAATTTTTCATTATCAAACGAAATTTCGTATAATGTCCACCCCCCAACAACCTTCCTTCTTTTTTCAGAAATACAGATTTCATTCGACAACAAACATTTCTTTTTGCAATCTGATTCTCCGATTCAATTTTACCATCAATCTGTCCTAACGTGAGCGTGAAATTTTCTGGTTCTAGGAGCCAATCGAAGGCCTCTTACCTGGCGTATCGCCGAGAACGAGGAGCGCCCGACACCGAGGGCAGTTACAAGAGAACCATGTCACCGACGTCTCGGCTAGAGGACTGGCCACCGCCGCGGGATCACGACGATCCGGTTCTTCTGCGCGTCACGCCTCATCATCCGTTGCAGCACCATCACCATCACCATCACAACAATCACCATTCGCAGCAGCCGGAACTTTCCAAGTCTCACAGCGTGGACGCTCTTCATCATCGTTTGGAGGAACGGTCTGCGCAGCAGCAACAGCAGCAGCAACAACAACAACAACAACAGCAGCAACAACAACAACAGCAGCAGCAACACTCGACAGAAGTGATCGGAAAATTGTCGCACGATTTGAACAAGAAACTGCAGGCAAGCGAGGCGAGATCGCGAACCAGCGAGAATAATAATAACGATAACCTGGAGGATCGACATCAACAGCATCACCACCACCACCATCATCATCATCATCATCAGGAGAAGAGGCACGATTATGAGCAACGTAGGGAACGGCTGTCGCCCCAGAGCGTCGAGGTCCTTAACGACAGGAACCGACAGCTGGAACGCGAACGCAGGAAGCTGGCGGCCAGTTGCGAACCCCTACTTCAAAACAGAGAGGTAATATTTCTTTTCGGACGTTTGGCACGTATTCTGCCGGTAGGTTACTTTCCTCCTCGCTGCAGTAGGCTACTTCAGTGTAGCAGCACCGAAATTATTTGATGCACCGTTTCTTGCAGCGAGCAGTGTTTTCTCACAATGTAAAGAAATGAGAAAATAGAAAAGTATTTTCGGTATTTTTCTTAACAATTTCCTACAGGCAGTTTTCATAATTATCGTGAAAATATCCAAGTTTAATTACCATTGCGTTTCAATTAAGAAATAAGACTAATCGAATGAATTGCAATTAGAAACAGAGTCGGAGCATGGACGTGTCCTCGTCGGTCGAAGAGGACTTCTTCCGCGAACGAAGCGCCACTATCGAAATGACTTCGCAGAACATCGAGCTGCTCAATCGCCGTAACGAGAAGAGAACGAACGCCACGTCGACCAACGCGATCACTGCCTACATCACCACGTCGTCGACGTCTACGATCACGGCGGACAGCTGTTGGCCACGAGGTCACGAGGTTCACAGTTCCATCGAGGCATCGCCGCCTGTGTCGGACAGGCCTCCAGCTCCGACCAATTCGCCGCCGAGGACGCCGGATCAGACGGAGGGAGACAGTTCGAGAGGCGCGGTGCGCAGACGATCCGAAAGCTGCTCCAGCTCCTCGTCCGGTAGATCGTCGGATCCTAGAATTTCGCCGCGGATTCTGTCCAACAGCTTGTTGTTCTCCAAGAGCGAGAGCTCCTCTCCCAGCAACAGAAAGGTCTCCAGTCCCACTCAAACGGACAACACCGGTTCCTGCAACAGAGGATCCAGCTCGCCCGTTCGTCCGAGCCAAACGAACGAGATTGAGCTGAGAGTGGAGAGGACTTGTCCGTCGAGTAAGTCGAGATCCGGCGGCAGGTCCTCGACCTCCTCGATCTCGAGCGCGTCAAAAGCCTCCTCATCGTCGTCGTCGTCGTCGTCGTCGAGGAATTCCCCGGTCGAGGAAGACAGGTCGTCACCGTGCATGTCGCCTCAGCCGGGAATAGAGGGGCTGACTTTGGTGCAACGTACGGAGGTTGTCCTTCGAGTGAACGCTGCCACCAGCGACGCTGCCTCGCAGACCGACATGTTGGATCAGACGGAGCCCGAAGCAACGGCCAAGACTCAGGAAATTCCTCCCTGCAGGAAGAAACTGCCAGAAGAGATCGAATGCGAGGAACTCGGCAGGGACTTGGCGAGCCAGCTGAGTCCGAACGACAAGCTGGTACCTCTCTTAGGTGAGCCGATATCACCGTTAATTTACGATCTAACGTCAAATCGTTCAGGTTACCTCTCGTTCTCTGACACGTTCCACACGTTTTCATCGACGTTAACGACGTGGCTTCCCTCGATGGCTTATCGCGAGCGAATTTACCTTTGCTCGTGTCATCGTCAATGTTTCGATCTGCTTGTCCAGACTTTTATTACTCGTGCGACAGTCACGAGCTCGCCGATAAGCCAGCTTGTAGTTAGACGCGTACCACGCGTCCGTTGATGCGCTGCTGCGTCATCCGCGACGAAGTGGAGCCCACTGGCCGGGCCGACGACCTTTTATTTTAATAAGCGTTAAACCAATCGACCAGTCAACCGTGTTATTCAATTACGCGTCGTTACTTCCCGCTGGATCTTTGTTCCTTGCCATGCACGTAGGACGTGTACGTCACGGCTTCCACGTGGATTTCAGGCGCGCAGAAATCTACCGAACAGAGGAATCAAAAGCCGTGTAACGATCTGTTCGTATCAGTTCCAGCGCCGGAGCACAAAAAACCTACCGACTACGTTACCGGACTGTTCAGGGTGGAGGCGACCTTGCAGCCGCGACCTAGGCGCCGACTTTCCCTCGAGGAACCAACGACCCCGTGCTCCGACAGCGGAGACGACGAGAAAAAGTGAGTATTATTATTGTAATTCGAGTAATTGAGGGTTCTTTGGAAACTGGTTATCAAGGAGATTCCCGCGTGTGTTGCACCAAGGAAGGTTACTTCTCCCATGGATACTATCCAACGGATAGACTATCTTGTTCAAGTTGAAAATCTTAAATCCACACGATACAAAATCCGTGTATTTATCGTTTTAAATTATAACTCGATAACGATAACTCCTCGGAAGGTATCGCCGAGTCGTAGAAAGAATCGTACTTGGCCGAAGATGAAAATTCAGGAGATTCTTTTAACCGGCATTTCGCCTGATAGATTATTACTTGAACGCATGCAGCGAATGCACGTTCGATTGAAACAGCCATGCAGAATCCCTATAATTTCCATAACTCTGAAACTATCATTTGCGTGCTCTCTCGACTGGCTGCGCGCCGTTTCCTCTCATTATCGTTACATAAATGTTAACCGATCGTCCCGGACGATACGCGACGTCGATATTTCATACAGGTTGCTTGCTTCACGCGTGTACCTGCGACTGCCACTTTCACCGAACACCTCGACCACGCAGGATTATCAATCGAGCCGTACATTCAACGATCGCCGACAACGTTGTCGCAAGAAATCTTGCGCGCGAGTCTTGCAAATTTTCGCGACCGGCGATCGGCGAATTTTCGATTCGCGCGATTTCAGGAACGGTGTCAAGGGGATTTCCCTTTTTTTTTTCACGGTACACTGCGAACGAGATCCTCGGCTAAAGAGGTCGTCGTTCACAGCGAGGTCCTTTATTGGTCGGCGAGCAACGTTCACGTGGGCGTGACCACGAGATTCCTAGCCAGGCATCGTTAAACGAGCTCCATTAGCGTCGGGATGTAATTGTCGTTTTCAAGTGGACGGCTTACGAGTCGATGACACGGACAAATCGCCCGCAACATTTATACGATGTACAATTTTCTAATTGCTTACATTTGTCGTTTCTTCTTCCGTGTTCTTGCGTTTATTTGCTCGTTTATTTGTACGAGATCGCGGTAGGTAGTGACCATCCCCGCTATTGCCTTTGGAATTTTCACGTTTCGGTCAAGAGAGAAGATATTTCTTGCCGATTAAGTTGGAAAGAAATAGGTCGTCAGCGTTTGTACGGTTTGCCTTTTACAGTCGTCGCCGATGAATTTTTTCCCTTTCCTTCGGCAGGAAAAGAACCACCCGGTCAACCGAGGACAATATTTCCGCCGGCACGCGCCGGGAGAAAGTACCAGAGGCGCGAGACGGTTACGTAACTAGCCATAAATGATATTGTTAGGTTAGCTACTTGGTGGTCTACGCATCATTTCGTTCGCCAGTCTAGCACGGACGAGCGGTGACATCGTTTCGCTCGATCTTAGCTCGCCAAGAGATCGGTTGTCGCTGCAACTCTCTCCGCATCGCGCGAACGCGTCCGCCATGGAGACGGAAGACACATCGGAGAAGTAACGTCGCAACTCGTTTGTTCGATTACTTTCCGTAATACCTGTTCCTATTGCGATCTCGGCTAATCTTCCGACTTGAGGAAAGCCTCTGAAAGTCGTTCATCGCCGGATCACTTAACTACACGCCCTGGAGTCGTTCCGCCCAACTAACGTTTCCCCGGAGGCATCGGCTAGGAACTTTACTTTACTTTACTTTACGTTTGCTTCGTTAACCGCACGGTGAACTCGAGCAATAGAGTAGCTTCCTACCACACCCCGTTGGAGCAGAAACGCTTTCGAAAGTGGTTACGGGTGGCTTCTTAGAGCACGGAGCGCAAGATAAGCCACGTGCTGGTCATACCCGCTGCAGCATCCACTTCCGCTTTTCATTAATTGCCTTCGAGTCCAGTGAGCGAGTCGTCGGCTCGAGCGTAATAGTCGCGGCTAATCGACACGGTCGCTCTTCGAACTGCGCCGCAAACCGCGCTTTATTTTTTTCATCGCTTTCTCCTGTTTTGCAAAGTATCTTGCTTCGAAACGAGATTTGTCTTTGTCGAATCATACTGCGCGATATTATAAAGCAAGGGATTAATAGTTTATGAATACTTTCGAAATATCGTCTGATATTCTCCACGAACTTGAAAGCCACAACGAATCGAGTCCCTCAAACACTGACAACTGGAGTCATCACGAGGAAACACGTGTGACAAGGGATGTGCGTTTGCATCAAGGCACTAAATCATCATCGTATGACGTTCCCGGTTCTATGAATCGTGCCAATCGATTCGCTCGTGAGTCATGCAATCGATGATGCAATCCATGTCGTCCATGATCACGAGCCGCACTCGAGGATTTTTGCGTCCCGCGATCGCCAAGATTACGTCGAGACCGGTGTCGCCCGATCGAATGGTTTAGAGATGGAAACCACGTTTGTTGCAGACACGAGACGATACCCTCGACTCCGGTCACTCCGTTATCGACGGACTCGACCAGTCCTCTGTCGCCGACGTCGGCCTACTTCACCACGTCCGAGGGCAAAGCGAGGTTCCTCACGAGATACTCGCGCGAAGTGACGGTCGAGGGATTGACGCGGCAGGAAGACTCGCCGCCTGTCATTCCCACCGACAGCCTTGATCTCAGACAGAAAAAGGTAAGGAATTTCTTGTGGAAGAGAATCACGTCAACAATTGGTTTTTATTTAGACGGATCAGTCGGGTAGCTTTCTGGTGAAAATGATAAGTACATAGCTGTCGAATATATATCTTTAAGCCGATTGAAAATTCTATCTAACAATCTATTTAAATAATCTATTTAAACATGAAGAAACAAAGTTCTTTATGAAACATTCGAACGTGTTCGTGGTTAATAAGCACGTTCTTAAAATATCTATTGGCTCTTGAATCACGGAAACTTTCCTTGAAATTACCGGCTGCTGGCGGTGTATTAATTTATACCAACGATCCCCGGAACCTAGCTCTTCTTTTCCTTTTCGTACGTAATCATGCTGCACCTTCTCCTAAACTGAAACATCTGCCACCATCCCTTGCTTTCCCTTTCGTGCCGAGTCATCAGCACTCGAATCCTCCGTCGCCTAATGTGCATGTCTATTCATCGATCAAGCCACACAGCTGTTTTAAAAATGACTTCGACGACGGATCACTTCCGTCGTATTTCGCCGCACGCGTTCGAGAGGGGAAAGTCCGTGAAACATGGGCGATTTTCTTCGCAGGAGGAGCTGATGATGAGGCTGGACAAGAAGTTGGTGGTCCTAAGAGCCGAGCAGGAAGCGGTGCGCGAGGAAGGAGAGGTGAACGAGGCGTTAGGGGCGCGAGTTGCCACGAGGATCTCCGCGGTCGCGAGACCAGCGGAAGCTTCCAAGTATCGACTGCACGTGGAGGAAGTGGGCAAGATCACGAGTCTTCTCCTTGGCCTGAGCGGCAGGTTGGCTCGAGCTGAGAACGCTCTTTATGGAATGCCGGCCGATCACGCGGAAAGGGTGAGTGCAAATATTTAATTCAATGCGTGAATATTTTTATTAATACCGACACTATTAATCTTTGATCTTTAAATAGATCAGTATCGGCACAAGAATTTAGACGATTGTAATTCCATCTAACTTTAAACTAATAATTCAATAATTCAGATAATAAAAGATAATTTATATAATCCTCTTACTATATTTCAAATATTTGAGAAGAAAGTTAATTTCAATAAATTTTAACGCTCGGATTATCAATCTTTAATCCTTAAATAGATCAGTATCGGGACAAGAATTTAGACCATTGTGATTCCATCTAACTTTAAACTAATAATTCAATAATCCAGATAATAAAAGATGAATTATATAATCCTCTTACTATATTTCAAATATTTGAGAAGAAAATTAATTTCAATCCGGTATAAATATAATCCTCCAATTAAACTAAATTTGAAAGACCTTTTAAAAGTTGATATTTATTTGAATATTTCACGTATAGTTAATTGCAGTTAAAGCAACAAAATTATCAATATTACTTCGATATTCTTGTATATTTTTTATCCAGCTTTAATCCAGTTAAACAAGAATCAAGAAACGATGGAAAGCAATATAATCACACTCGTGAATATTAATATTCAATTTTATTTCTGGAAATGAACACGCGAGTTATTAACCGGGCAGAACGCAAAGTCGTTTACGATCGATCGAAGCAAGCGAAGCGATTTGTCATCGAAGCAAAATATTTCAAACAAACATAGGCTGCGCTGAAACGAATATGCGTTTATTGAAAATTTACCCGACGTCCTTGCGTTATCGTCGACTCGCGGTGTTACGTGTCGCAAGACGATTTGTAATTGTTGAACAGGAAGACCGGAGGAGCGCAGGCGCGATTACTCATGTGACTGACAGAAAGTCGTCCCGATTCGTATCGGGGAAATCTTGCGCAATGCTTTTCATTATACGATTAAGGATTAATGCCGATAGAAACTTCAAAGTAAATATATAATACAAGTTCGTTTATTGCAATGAAACTTTAATACCGAGATTAGTAAGTGGATGAGCGAGTGAACTCCGATTATATAAATTGTTCTCCGCTGAGTTCGATCTAAATAGACTCGGTATTTAGAAAATTCAAAGATAACAAAGAACGTTCCATTTCATCGTTCGCAGAAAATCCTGGAGGGCAAGAGGGACAAGTTGCTGGATCAGCTGGAGGAGGCGAAAGTTTTGAAGAGCAACATCGACAAGCGTAGCGTAAACGTATCGACCATCTTGTCGAAGTACCTGAACGAAGAGGAGTTCGCGGATTATCAACACTTCATCAACATGAAGGCGAAACTGATCGTGGACGGGCGTGAGATCCAGGACAAAGTGAAGCTCGGGGAGGAGCAGCTAGCCGCGCTGAGGGAAGCGATCGACTAGTCGTAAAACAAATGCGAGCCCTCAGATCGCGATCTGAGCTGAGGGACGCGTGATTATTACACGTGATAACGCGTGTTCCCTCGAGCATGATGTGGTTTCTTTTTACGATAAGAAGGAGCATGTGAACAGATCCAGCGTATCTTTCAACCATCGAATTTTTTAAACGATCCTGCGAACGCGTGTGTTCGAGTCGATGAATGGAACGTGATATCCCTAGCGTGTAGGTGTATCGGTAGCTTGAAATCGTTCTTTTTCTTTCTCCTTAGAAGCACGCATGTTCGTTGTACATATCCTTCGAGTCCTAGACGGACCGAACGTCTTTCCATTAGTGGAAGAATATCTTTATGCGAAAACCAAGTCAACGATGGCACGGCGACGGATGATCTTGAAAATCCAGAGACGGCCTCGAGTGGCTACTCGTTGTTAAATTCACACATTGATCATATAGCGTGGCAGAGATTGAGAATCGTGTGTGGCAATGAGTGCCACGAATGGGTACACGTTGCGTTGATAAAGCAACGAACTACGAAAGAGTAAAGATTTGTTTTTTCGTGTATGTATCGTTTTTTTTTTTTCTTTTTAAAATTATGTGATACAAAATTGATCATTAACGATCAAATTTATTCGATCCGAGTGGAATTTCCGGTTAACGTGTTTTTTTTTTTTTTTTTTTTT